TTAATTTGATATAGGAGTTTAGGTATCTACAGCTTAAACCGAACGCGCTACATCGCTTGGACGTGAGACACCCCTGAAGGTATACGGTAACCTTAACTGAGCGAATTAAGTTCATGTTGGACGTTTAATTCGACTGAGTTGTTCGACTGAGTTGTTCGACTGTATTTAGATCGACCAACGATCTAAATTTATCCGTCTGAAGCAGACTGATAGAACGAGGACGTTTGACCCAACGGTGGAGCTTTACCCGTTTGGATTGATTCAAACTGCAATTTAGTTCGTCTCACGCGAAGTTCGACGATTTGCCTGGGTCTCACGCCCGAACTTGATCTCGTGCACCTGTTAAAACTTACCAATGCATGTTTCCGGTAAGCCTCTGATATATTCAGCCTTTTCTCTTTGAAAAAAATTGTTCCCTAAAATATGAAAGAGAAGAAAATGAATGAGTAGGCAAGCTTCCTACTCACTCGTGTTTTGGCACATCAATGAGCGTTGCCATTTTCCTCTCTCCCTTATTTTTGGCTTCTCTCATCAAGGATGCCGAATCTAGTAGTAGGCAAGTAGCAGCAGCAGCAGCAGCAGCAGAAGAAGAAGGTGCTGATTTTAAACGGCATGGAAATCATATAACAAAAAGGCATGACCTTTATTCCGCAGGCTCTTTACTTGACTCTGTAGATGACTTCCGAACGCAGCTGGCTTTTTTTCGGAACAAACTTCTTTTCAGAACTATCTTCATCTGAAGGACCAAACTAGAAATCGCGATACTGCTGGGTTCAAACCATTAGACCAAGTTTCCTTCCCGTTTAATCAGCGTTGCGTTTTTACTTCGTTTATTAGCAGTAAAAGCAAGTTAGACCTCGGTTTTTTTTTTGCAGATTTACGCGTTTTGGGAGGGTGGTACACTAGTCAGTTCAATCCTTCAAAAAGGTTAGGGATTTTACCTTAATCACGTGTGGCAAGTACAATTGGTTTATTGCCGGTGTTAACTCGTAATGCCCTAATCCTGCACCAAGGCAAAGTTGATTTACACTGTTGGAATCGCATATAAGCATATTTCTTGATGGGTATGGCTGGTGATAATTTGAGACAAACTTGCGACGGACGGATTCTTTTTGTTGACCCAGTCGACAAGTAAAGAAAAGAAGCAAGTGATACTATCTGCCTTCATTACAGACATAAAGAAAATTTGACTTGTTTCGACTATTCTGGAGAGCAGAAAGTTTTAGAAAGAGAGAATAAAAAAGAGTGTTGAATTTTTCTATCCATGCTTGGTACGTTGCCCAGGCTTTCCAGGATAATGTGAGCAGGTCTTTCGAGCAATGGCATTCCCCCACTGACTGAGAAATAAAAATAAACAAACATCGGAAACTAAAAAGATCGGAATAATTGATAAATTGTCAACATCCCCGCTGGGGCCGACTCGTTCTCAAAACCTTTTACACTCAAGTAGCTTACCATATTCATTACTTTTTGGGCGTCTTCTTCTCGGTAAAATGTTACAAAACCGTATCTACGGAATTAAACATTGAAAGGTATTGAAAGTTTCAGACCAGCCTTGATTTATAATACCCACTTTGACAGATTCTTTCACGGTTTTTCCGTGCCACTTTGTCTTCTCTAGTAATTAGATTTCAGGCTATACAAGCAACAACTGCTGCGTTTTAACTTTAACTTACCATTAAAGAAGTTTAATAATGAGTTTTTTTCGGGGCAGACACTTGACACTTGCCCTCAAGTATTGCGGGCAGCAATGGCGATTCTAATCACAGCTGATTTGTAAAACGTGTCACTTATCTACATTCTAAAAAAGCGGTCATTATTTGTAACTTGTAAACAGCTGCACGCAAAGCAAAAAACTTCTGTTTTGTTGGTTAGAAAGTCGTTTAAGGTTTATTGCTGTTTAGTGGTAAGAGATGTAAAGTACAATTAAAGTTTGAACCCATTGTCAGAGTTCAGAGAATTCAGAGATTAAGTAATTGATTGAGTAGTATATAGTTAGTTTAGAAGTTTTTGCTGCAATTCATACACAATGAGATCGCAGTGATAAGAAAAGAAAACGGGCTGTTTTCTAAATGGTACGCGCGTATGAAGAAGCCCACAAACACTTCGACATACTGTGATTGACAAAAGTTTCTTTTTCAAAGCCACAAGTACTTTAAAAGGACTTACCCCTTACTTAATCCTTCCTGGTCTCTGATAATTTTGGTGTCTCGAACAGCTCCATATCTGCTGAAGAACTCTTTGAGTTCTTCTTTCGTAGTCTAAAAAACAAACCATGAGCAACAAAGCGACACAAACTCAGCTGTTAACTATAAGTTAAAGAAACCGCGACCGTTGCTGCTAAAATTGCGCGCCGGTTCCTTAAACTCAACTTTTACTTGGAAAGCGTCGCATTTCGCAAAAGCCCGGTCTTGTCACATCTGCAAGGAAATATTTAAACTAGGTTTTAAAAAAGAGCTTCAGCTACTTACATTAAACGCAATTCCACCGACAAAAATACGATACGGAATCTTGACTAAGCCACCTCCACTCTGACGAAGAGTTGAACCATTTCCAACAGCGTCTGTCGATACGTAGGCCTGTACATTTGAAGTAAAGAACGCTAGATTAGCTGCGATTTGAGAAGCATTAAATTTTTAATGGCTTCAAAACTATCCCGCGGACGTTTTCTACGTAAGTTACAAGACAAAGACATGTTAACATTATTGCACTTTGAGATTGTGAGCTGTCAAAATGAATTTGAAATCAACATACTTCTGATACTCAAAGTCACCGGCCATTTTTTTCTTGGTTAATACCGGAATACACCTTTAAAACCGTGAAAATAGCCAGATCATTCAGATATACAATATATAGCTCGTGCTCGAAGGAACATTATGTTTCACTTTCGTGATTGTAATGTAAACTACTGAAATTCATTTGGAGATAGACAGAAGTCTGAAAGAAAAATGCCAACATAAATCGGCTTTTCGAGCAAGCAAGCCACTTTGCGTTGCCTTGGTTCATACTTCATTGAAGGAGTAGTGGTAACTTTCAAATTAAAAGCACACTTTTTGCTAAGAAAAAAGGTCAGCTAAACGTAAGAGGGCTTACCATTTCGATACACACCGACGCACTCGTCGCCTATGACGATCATAGCCAATTTAGGTCGCTTCCCAACCACTGGCTAGGGAGGGGTAGGGTGATTCCATAAAAGATTATTCCTTTTCAGAAGGTTTCAACTCCAAAATTGGTAACCATTGCTGAATTGCTCAAGTGGAAGTAGAAGTTAAATTTTGTAAGTCTGGGAAGCTACACAAAACGTTTTGCCCAGGCATGATCAACCAAAGCTTCTCCTGTTTGGTGACTATGATTGGTATGTCCAGAAGGGCGTGGGAATATGGCAATAAGTATGCCAAGTTTATAGCTGGATGTTTCTTTTCGTGTTGACAGCGGGGTCATAAGGCAACCGGAAGTGGCACCTTGAAGGGTGCTCCGGATTTCTCCCAAAAATGTACATGATGACCTGGCCATAATTAAATCTGTATTCATTTACATCCTATAGTTTTGCACAATTTTCAGTTTTAACTATAGCTCTATGCCAGTTAAGATTCCGCGACCTACATATGAGAGTTTTGAAGTATTCCGAAGTAGTTATGAAATTCTGCACAATATTTACACAGCTCCGATTCACAAAGAATTCCAATTCTTTTTTAAATTCGGTGGGTATACATTTGATCAGTGCAAGTCCCTAAGTAGTCATATCCCAATACATAAGTATTGAACTTTGGCTCACCTTCTGAGAGTCGTCCCAAATCTTTGTTCGTCTTTTCGCCTTTTGTTATTAGTGTCGGCTATTTTCTGATCTAGATGTTTCTTTTTTCCTTGGCCTCCGCCTATCTCCGCCACGCTCAGCTTCCCGTCGATGCCTGAAGGTAACACTGACAGAGATACTCTACCAAATCACTGTACTATGAGAAAATCGTCGAACAATCTGCCGAAAATGATGCGTTCCGATTGTTCAAATACAGCAAAGTGGACAGTTTTGTTCTAGCGACTCAAATGTCACTAACAAGATTGACTGAAGTTTTTCACACCTTTACAAATCAGCGTAGTCTTTACAAAGTAAAGACACATTAAAATAAAAGCCTAACAAGAATTTTTTATGTATCTACTCTATATATAGAAACCGATGTTATTTCTTTTTATTGTAAGCTTTGTTTTACATTTACCGATCCGAATCCTTGAACTGATCAGTATTCACTTTTGGGCGTGGCTTTGCCAAATATTATTTTCGAGACTCTAGCTGGGCTAATGCCACGTTCCGCTGAAAGAGCTAAATGTCACTGTTTGCGGTTTCCGGGTTAACTTTGATTTCCAAAAAACATGATTGGGGCATGATTTTCTACCTTTTCAGTGAGAGTGCCGTTTATCTATATTCATTTGGTACCTTTAGGGACCGCGCAAGGAGTGGGGATAAGGTAGGTCTCCCAAGCTCCTTGGGAACCGTAAAGATTTAGTTGCGTAACAACTGAGCGTAAGAGTAGTTTTGTATGAACGTAACGATCGTTACAATGTAAAAACAGTTCGACGCAGTGTGGAAAGAAATTCGATAAGAATGACTTACTTCGACTCTTCTGTGTGCTACTTGTGTTTCCGTGGCGTTTTGAGGTCTTTTCAAGGCGACTTTAGCGAGTTTTAGTTTTACTGTTAATTTTACGTTAATTGGAATTAACGAGACATGGGATACCCAGACCCCCTATCCCCTTGAGGGGCCTCAGGGGCAGCCGTCGCTGAACCTGGTGCTGAAAACTGCGCAAAACTAGACAATGTAAATGATTTTATTATAGTGGTTTGACATCTGATTCTCGGACCCAAGGGAGACTTTTCTCTTGCTTAAACTGATATCTTATTTTCACCAGAATTTATGATTCCATTGTCACTCTTCTTTACAGTTCAGAACGTTGCAGGATGGTCAAGCAAGTCCTAGAGATATTATCCCCCTTCAGAGACGTTCACATACAACTTGTCAGCTAGGCAAGAAATTCTCAACATCTTGCGACTTATGATCATCTGCAACTGAGTTCTTTGCAACAAACAAACCAGGACCTGGTTTCCCTCCTTAAGCTGTTGTAATTGCACTCGGACTCTTGACCATCAAGCCCCGCGCTCCCTAGCCTACAAACAGGCTCCCGACAAGGACGGGAAAAAATTGGGCCAGCACAAAACAGAAGGATGAGCGAAGCGATCGGGGCGGGACAGAAGCTCACCAGGAGCCTGTTCGCAGGCTACGCGCTCCTTAATTCCCGCCTTTCCACCACGAACTGCACAGATGCCTGGGCACGAGACAGTGCAAGCAAACATTGCCGTTGGAAACGTTTATCATATTTGTTGTGAAAATGTACAAAAATGATGTAAGATACTTTGTGCCCCTTTGTAACACCTATCACATCAGTTTTTTTTTTTTGAGGTAGCTATCAAAAACCTTTGTAATCGATTCAAGCTGTCGCAATTTGTGATGACACTTTGTTTTGTTTGTGATAACCTGTCAAACGGCCCAAGCACACATAATTGTACTAGTCATATTCTCTTTGTATAATTCTGATATGAATCAGTTGAAAACGGTTCAACCATCGTAACCGAGGGGGACTGAACATCAAGAATTAATCGTAAGCAACTGCCTAACAAGGGAGCGCCCTATCAGGTATTGTAAGGGAAGGTTAGTTTTTTTTTTATTTGGGGGGGGGGGGGGGGGGGG